AGGAGGAGGAGGAGGAGGAGGAGGAGGAGATTGGATTTATACCCCACCCTTCACTACTCAAGGGAGTCTCAGAGCAGCTTACAAGCTCCTTTCCCTTCCCTTCCCCACAACAGACACCCTGTGCGGCAGGCGGGGCTGAGAGAGCTCTTTTGAGAACTGCCCCTGAAAGAACAGCTCTGACAGAACTAGGGCTTGCCCAAGGTCACCCAGCAGGTGCAAGTGGAGGAGTGGGGGAATGAAACCCGGTTCCCCCAGATTAGAGTCCTCTGCGCACTTTACCGCTACACCAAACTGGCTTGAACTGCCTGCCAGGTGCGCTTCCCAGCCCCGTTTTCTCCCAGGTTTTGCTACGCCAACGAGGGCCCGACTCACCGCCAGGAAGGACTTGAAGGTCTCCTTTGTGCTCACGTGCAGCAGGTTGCCAATGAAGGGCAGGGGGGCCGGGCCGGGGGGCAGCTTCCCCTCCTGGTGCGTCCTCTTCCACGCCGCGAGGATGACCAGGTACGTGAGGCAGAGGCCCAGGAAGATGGTCAGCGCCCCTCCGAGCTCCATGGCGGGCAGCCTCCCAACTCCGGCCGGGTGCCCTCGGCTCGCCCATTATATGCCGCCTGCCCTGTAAGCGAAACCGGCCTGTCCTCCCTGGGATTGTGTTGCACACACCAGGAAGACGAGGTTGGGTTTCAGTGCAAGGGTTCGGGGGGCGGTGCCCACCTCATACACAAGGCCGGGTGAGTGTCCCTCGTGGGAGTGCTGTTCTCGTGGAGGGTTTTCGTGACTTGGGGGTGCCAGCCTCCAGGTGGGGCCTGGGGATCCCCCGGAACCACAGCTCATCTCCAGACTACAGAGATCAGTGCCCCCGGAGGAGATGGACGCTTTGGAGGGTGGACTCTATGGCCTTGTACCCCAATGAGGTCCCTCAACCCCCCCAGGCTCTGCCCCCAAATCTCCAGGAGTTCCCCAACCTGGATCTGGCAACCGTACCCCCCCCCCCAATCTGCTGCCGGTAGCCAAAACCCAGTTGCCATCAGGAGGTCCATCAGGGGGCCAGTACTCCAGAAGCCCTCCCACTCTTGCCCCCCAAGCTCCAAGAAGACAGAGCATCGCTGCCCCAAACGGAGTGTTCCACTTATACCTGGTGGCTAAGAGCCACGCGTGGATCTCTGCTCCAGATGTTCATCCGATCCTCCCTTGAAGCTGTCTATGCTTGTAGCCGCCGCCACTTCCTGCGGCAGCGAATCCCACGGGTTAGTCACTCTTTGGGAGAGGAAGCACATCCGTCCATTGCCTCCGGCCTCACAGGGCTCCCTTCTTTCTCAGTCTCTTGGAAAACAATTATGAGCAGTGTTCCCTCTAAGCTGAGTTAGTGGGAGCTGGCTCAACAGTTTTTTAGCCTCTGGCTCAAACAGTTTTGTCTCAGCTCAGGAAGGGTGGCTCCGGAGAGCAAACTAATTTGTGCAGTCGTCAGGGCTATTTTTGGGCAGGAACACACAGGAACGGAGTTCCGGCTGGCTCCCAAGTTGGCCACGCCCAGCAGGAACTCATTAGCATAATAGGCCACACCCAACAGCAGGAACTCATTAGGACTGGCTACATTAGGGGTGTGTGGCCTAACATGCAAAGGAGTTCCTGCTACAAAAAAGGCCCTGGGTTTTGACGACAAACAAGGTAAACAGAATAACAAGCAAAAGGTGGGTGTGGCTGGATGACCACACTTCTGGTAACATGGGGGTGCGGCCTAATGTGCTAATGAGCTGTGCTGTCAGGGGAGTGGCCCAATACGCTAATGAGTTCCTGCTGTTGGGTGTGGCCTATTATGCTAATGAGTTCCTGCTGGGCTTTTTCTACAAAAAGAGCCCTGGCAGTCGTCAAATCGCTGGCTCACAACTTTAATGCCAGGAGCTCACAAAGGGGAACTTTTGCTCACAGGACCCCATAGCTTAGAAGGAGCATTGATTATGAGGTATGCTTCAAAAGGGGCAAGGTTTAGTCTCCTTGGCGGTCTGTTGGTTTTATTGCCATCCGGCTTTTAAAGGCAAGCCAGCAACCACAGGGGTTTGCAGACTGGTCAACGAGGGGCTGGCATGAGGCCCTGCGCCTAGACAGGAACGAGACAGCAGCCCCGCCTTAGGCTAATAAGCTCGCCAACCTCCAGGTGGTGCCTGGAGACCTCCCGCTATTACGATCGATCCCCAGACGACCAAGATGGGTTCCCTTGGAGGAAATGGCTGCTTTGGAGGGTGGACTCTATGGCATGGATGGTACTCTCCTGAGGTTTCCCCCTTCCCCGAACCCTCCCCTCCCGAGGCTCTACCCCCCCAAACCCCCAGGTCTCTCCTAACCCTGAGCTGGCAACCCCAGCTGACCGGGGGAAAGAAGGCGAGGGGAGGGGAAAGCCGCAGGAGTCAGACTGTGCTGGTGATGCCAGGAGAGGGTGCTCAGCCCTCCACGGGCTTCTGCTGTCATTCGGGGCCTGGCTAATTTCCCTTTGGTTGGTCCTCCTTCTAGGACCCCGGTGAGGCTCTAGTCCAGTGTCCCTTGGCTCACTGACCGGGGGCAGAAGCCAATGCGTCCTTTCTCTCCGGCCTGCAAGCCCAGGGCCACTGGGAGGACATGGAAGAAGAAGGAGAAGAAGAAGAAGAAGAAGAAGAAGAAGAAGAAGAAGAAGAAGAAGAAGAAGAAGAAGAAGAGGAGGAGGAGGAGGAGGAGGAGGAGGAGGAGGAGGAGGAGGAGCAGTCTCCTTTCCCTTCCCCTCCCCACAACAGGCACCCCGTGAGGTAGGCAGGGCTGAGAGAGCTCTTGACAGGAACGGCTCTTTTTTCAAGGACAGCTCTTATCAGCCAGCCAGGTGCAAGTGGAGGAGTGGGGGAATCAAGCCCGGTTCTCCCAGATTAGAGTCCGCGCACTTAACCACGACACCAAACTGGAAGAGGGCAAGCTTCTTGCAGTTCATTAGCTGTTGTAGATTTTCCGGGCTGTGTGGCGTTGTAGTCTTGTGTCTTGGCATTGTAGGACCTGACGTTTCGCCAACAGCTGTGACTGTCCTCCTCAGAGGACACAGAGACCAATTTCACACAAGAGCTGCGCCGCGGTCGCACCACCCTTTGCCCCGCTTCTGTTGGTCAATTTCCCACTCGAAGCCGCATGGCTGCATTTTGAGGATCACGAAACCGCGGGGAAAATTGTGGGGGAAGCCGCGGGTCAAAATGCAGCCACGCGGCTTCGTGTGGGAAATTGACCGATAGAAGCGGGGCAAAGGGAGGCGCGGCCACGGCACAGCTCTTGTGTGAAATTGGAGAGAGAGCCCTCCATCCTTTCTGTGTCATACCTCCGAGGAGGACAGTCACAGTGGCTGGCGAAATGTCAGGTCCTACAATTTATTTATTTATATTTATATTTATTTATTGTTTGATTTATATCTCGCCCTCCCTGCCAGGCAGGCTCAGGGCGGCTTACAATCTCTCCTTATCATAATTGAATAGTGGGGACCCACGTTCTAAAATGCGCCTCTTTAGTGTTTGGCCGGTGAAACTGCCAATTACCATATATGTCCACCAATAGGGACGCACAGCTCGGCTCCCGCCTCCGCTGCCTCCGTCGGCCCGCCCGCCCCCCTCTCCCGGCCACAGTCCCAGCCCGGCGACCGCGGCAGCAGCCAGCGGTCGCTGGGCTTCCAACCCCAACCCAGCCCGGCCGACGGAGGCAGCGGCCTCCGCCTCCCTCTCCCGGCCACAGTCCCAGCCCGGCGACCGCGGCAGCAGCCAGCGGTCGCCAGCCTTCAAAACCCCCCCAACACAGCCCGGGCGACGGACGCAGCGGCCTTATGATTTGGCCTTATGAGTGTTGGCTTGATGGGACAATGAAGGATCTCAGCATTTTACTCTCAGGGCTTTATACAGCCCCATTCATTTTTTTTTCCAGAAGACCTTAACCATCACAAACCTTGCATGATTGGTCATTTTTTCCTGGAGACCTATTTTCAAAATCAAGTAACACAGAGAAATAACCCATTACTACACACAAGTTTACCACATCACATATTTGTTACTCTTTAAATTTGCAGTTTTATACCATTCTAAAGGATGTATATTGTCACCTTGCTTATTTAATATATATGCAGAGTACATCATGCGAATTTTTTTTTTACCCATCTTCCTTCCTTCCTTCCTTCCTTCCTTCCTTCCTTCCTTCCTTCCTTCCTTCCTTCCATTCTTCCTCCTTTTCTTCCTAGCTTTCTTCCTTCCTTTCTTTCAAAATTACTACCATTAACCCCATTCTGTCTCCCCCCCTTTTCTCTCTTTCCCCCCTCTCTAACTGTCTCTCTCTCTCTACCTCCTCTTCTCCATTCCTCCCTTCCACTCGCCCTTCCTTCCTATCTAGGGCCCGTCGTCTACCGCCACGACGGGCTTTGCTTACTAGTACATATATAAATATATTAAAGTATCGAGATACATTAAAACAGTAATCAAGTTAAAACAACCCATGCTAGCAAACATAATACTAATAAATGGTGGCAGTGTTGTCGCAGCATCTAGATCAGGGGTGTCGAACTCATTTGTTATGAGGGCCGGGTCTGATGTAAATGAGACCTTGTTGGGCCGGGCCACGTGTATCATAAAATGTAATGCCAGGTAGCAGAGATATAAACTTTATAAAGGACAGAAACACAAAGGGGTTTTTTTTACTTAAAAACATGATTAAAACATCAGCACTCTTGCAATATTTTGGCCCCGGTCACATGGAGCATTAGCCACGCTAGAGAGATGGAAGATAGGTGGATTTTCCGGGCGCGATTTCACCGCCACACCTGGGAAGCATAGAGCTCCCGTGGCTCAACCGACGCTTCCCTCCAAAGATGCGCGGCAAAAAACTAGTACCTCGGAGGTACTAGTTTCCGGAAACCTCGGGACAAGGGCGGGCGTCTGATCGCATTTCCGGTGGCATCCGGCGCCCGCCCATACCCCATTGCAAAAAGGTGTTTTTTCCCCGAAGTCTCCAGGGATGCGTACAGGCACCCAACGGGGCATGTGCATACTTCAGGTTAAAAAAAACAAAACACAACCCCGTTTGCCGTGCTGCGCCGCTTCTTTGACGCGTCGTGTGATCGGCACCTCCCCCCTAACCATGGGACCTCGACGGGACTGCGAGGGGACGCCTGATCGCGCAGTCGCGCGTTATTTCGCTGCGGGGCAAACAGCCACGCCTCCCCCCGCGATATCCGGCCTGTGTGACCGAGGCCTTTCTTTATTTAACAGTGTCTGATAACTGGCACCTCTTGTTCTGAATTCCTGCATCAAAATGTTTGTGCGGTGGCAATCCTGAGTATGCTGTTCAGGTGTGTATCTCTGTAAGCGGCAAACCTAGGATGACGCAGCAGCAGCAGAACTGGAAGAAGCAGCAGAAGACAGCGAGTTCCCCTGCAGGCCCGATAGAAGCCCTCCGGGGGCCTGATCTGGCTCCTGGGCCACATGTTTGGCACCCCTGATCTAGATAGTCAGATTACCACCCCAGTCAATGCCAAGACCATGGCCATACGGACCAGAAAATATACAACA